TCCTGCCACCCCTGTCCCCCTCCCATCCCCTCCTCTCCGCCACCCCCGTCCCCATCCCGTTACCTTTCCGCTTGTGCGCCTTGAGCCCGGCGGGGAAGTAGCTGCGCTCGGCTCTGCCCTGGCTCCCCGGGGCTGCCCGGGCGGGGGTCGATGAGGCCGGGGCACCGCGAGGCACGCGCGGCACCGGGGCACCGCCGGGACACCGCCGGGGCACCGCCGGGACCGGGCGGCGCCGCGTCACGCAGCGGCCGGGGGTCCGGCTGGCGTCACCCGGCCCCGCGGGGGACGGGGACACGGCCCGGCGGGGGAACGCGGTGGCAGCGAGGACAGCACCGGCAGCAGCCAGTCCGTGTGTCCCCCAGGGGTTCAAGGGATGGCGGCCCCCGTCCCCGCTCCAGCAGCCCCGTCCCCATCTCCTCGTGTCCCCCAGGCTCCCCCCGTGTCCCCCAGGCTCCGGCAATCCTGTCCCCGTGTACTCTGGGCTCTGGTCCCCGTGTTCCCACATCGCCGACGCTGTGTCTGTCACCCCGTGTCCCCACTTCTTGTCCCCTGGGCTGTGGCAGCGCCACGTCCTCGTCCCGCAGATTCCAGCAGCTCCACCACCACATCCCTCGGGCTCCAGAATCCCCCTCCCCGTGTCCCTGCGTCCCCCAGGCTGTGGCATCCACGTCCCCGCATCCCTTGGGGATGTCCCCCCGTCCCCTCACCAGCCTCGAGGGCACTGTCGGGGTCGCAGCCGTCATCGGGCTCCCCGTCCGAGCTGTCACCCCCGCCCATGCCGCTCTCCAGGTGGGACTGCACGATGCGCTGCACCGCTGGGGAGACAACGGTGTCACCGGTGTCACCGGGGTGTCCCCCCAGCCCCCGCGCTGCCCCCTGGCCCCGCGGGCGGTACCTTTGAGCGAGGGCGGGGTGTAGGCACACGGGTTGGTCCTCTTTGGTTTGAGCAGGCAGCCCTCGCCCGACGAGCGCTGCGGGGGGAGCGGCGTCGGGATATGGGGGTCTGGTGCCCCCAAGGGGGTCCCCACGGGGGTCACCGCGGCCCCGGGAGAGCCGGGAAGCCCCCGGAGAGGTGGGGGGCTGCGATGGGGGTCTCACTATGGGGCTGAAACCCACCCCTCCCCAGCAATGAGGACCCTGCTAAGGGGATGTGGCACTGGGGACATGGTGCTGGGGACACCGTGATGGGACACTGAGGTGGGGACCTTGCATTGGGGATGGGGTATTGGGGACACCACCCTGAGGACCCCTCTGTGGGGACCCTGCCAGGGGGATCCTATGCTGGGGACCCCCATTATGGGGGCACTGCCATGAGGATGTGGCATTGGGGACCCCACAATGGGGACACTGCCATGAGGACGTGGCATTGGGGACCCCACAATTATGGGGACACTGCCATGAGGATGTGGCATTAGGGTCCCCACGATGGGGACATTGCCTTGGGGACGTGGTTTTGGGCTGCCCCTGATGGTGACCCCGTTATGGAGACCTCGTGTTTGGGACTCCGTGGGGTTGTGACACTGGGGACACGGCGCTGGGGACACCGTGGGGGTGACCCCGCGGCTGTCACGCGCTGGTTGCACAAACTCCAGAGCCTGGCTCGGCTCCATGTCCCCATCCCGCGTCCCCGTCCCGGCGCTGGCGCCGTGCGCCCGTGCCGGGAAGGAGCCGATAAGCTCCGGGCCCCGATAACCCCCCCGGGGACACGGGACGGGGAGCGGGGCTGTGTCGGGGGTCCCCGCGCCCACTCACCTGGTAGGGCAGGTTCTCGTCCTCTGTGTCAGCGGCGCCGGGGAGAGAAGGGTGAGCGGGACACGGGCACCCGGCGGGGCCGGGCAGGGCCGTGCCCACCCTCGGACCCCCTGCAGGGGTTACCCTGCCCGCCAGGGACCCGCCACCCCTTTCCCTATGTGACACCCCGTTCTCTCCCTGCCACCGTCTCCAGACATCCCATTCCACAGGTGACACATCCCAACCCCAACCGCGTCCCCTGCCTGCCACCGTGTCCCATCCCAGACGCACTGACAGACACAATGTCCCATCCCTGCCACCGTGACAGACACAATGTCCCATCCCTGCCACCGTGTCCCATCCCAGACACACTTACAGACACAATGTCCCATCCCTGCCACCGTGACAGAACAATGTCCCATCCCTGCCACCGTGTCCCATCCCAGACACACTGACAGACACAATGTCCCATCCCTGCCACCGTGACAGACACAATGTCCCATCCTTGCCACCGTGTCCCCTCCCTGCCACCGTGACAGACACCGTGTCCCGTCCCTGCCACCGTATCCCATCCCTGCCACCGTGACAGACACAATGTCCCATCCCTGCCACCGTGTCCCATCCCAGGGTGAGCGGGACACGGGCACCCGGCGGGGCCGGGCAGGGCCGTGCCCACCCTCGGACCCCCTGCAGGGGTTACCCTGCCCGCCAGGGACCCGCCACCCCTTTCCCTATGTGACACCCCGTTCTCTCCCTGCCACCGTCTCCAGACATCCCATTCCACAGGTGACACATCCCAACCCCAACCGCGTCCCCTGCCTGCCACCGTGTCCCATCCCAGACGCACTGACAGACACAATGTCCCATCCCTGCCACCGTGTCCCATCCCTGGGCCGGCTGTCCCCTGCCCGGTGTCCCCTCCCTGTCCGGCTCACCTGGGGAGGAGTGTTCGGAGAGCTGGAAGAGCATGGCCGGCGTGGGCCTCCGCCGGCGGATCTGGGGCACAGCGGGGTGTCACCGGCTGGGGACGCCCCGGGTCCCCTGTCCCCTGCCCTGCGCCCCAGGGACACGTGTCTGCACGTGTGTGAGCGTGTGGGTGCAGGGCCACCAACCCCCCCGGCACGGGGTCCCCGGGGTGTCCCCAATGCATCCCAGCCCCATGAGAGCCCCAGGCCAGCTCCTCCGAGGGGACTCTGGGTCCGGCGTGTGCTGGGGATGTCCCCTCGGATCAGGGACAACCGGCGGGGGTGGCTGCACCGAGTCCCGGCGTGTCCTGTCCCCTTCATCCCATCCCTGTCTTCATCCTGTGCCCTCTGTCTCATCCCTTCCCTGCTGTCCTGTGCCACCTCTGTCCCTGTCCCTGTCCCTGTCCCTCTCCCTGTCCCTGTCCCTGTCCCTGTCCCTGTCCCTGTCCCCCTGGCACAACTCTCCGTGTGCGGGACCGCAGCTCCCACAGGGACCTCTCGTCCTGTCCCCGTCCCTTTCTGTGTCCCCCCCCGCAGTCCCGTCCGGTCTGTCCCTCCCGTTCCATGCGCTGCCCTCTCCGATCCCCCCTGTCCTGCTCTGCCGGTCCCATCCTCTCCCTCTTGTCCCCTCTGTCCCTTCCGATCTCCCCTGGATCCATCCCCTCCCTCCCTCTGTCCCCTCCCACCTCCCCCTTGTCCCATCCCATCTGTCCCAACGCATCCCCTCGCCGTCCCCTCTGTCCCTTCCATCCCCTGCCTTGTCCCCTCTGTCCCCTCCGATCCCTCTTGTCCTGCTCTCCCGGTCCCCTCCCGTCCCTCCTGTCCCCTCCGATCCCCCTTGTCCCATCCTTTGCCTTGTCCCCTCTGTCCCCTCCGATCCCCCTTGTCCTGCTCTCCCGGTCCACTCCTGTCCCTCCATTCCCCTTCAATCCCCCTTGTCCCATCCCCTCCCTCCTGTCCCACTCTGTCCCCTTCCCTCCCCGCCTCCCTCCAGCACCCCGGGGCTCTCCCGTGTCCCACTTCCCTGTCCCCCTCCCGTGTCCCCCTCCCATCCCACGCGCTCATTCCGGGGGTCCCTTCTTGTCCCGAGGTCTCCGGCAGCGCTCTGCCCGGGCAGAGAGGAGGGACCCCCGGGCTGGCCCCGCTCCCCTCTCCCCTCTCCTCTCTCTCCTCTCTCCCCTCTTCCCTCTTCCTTCTCCCCTCTCCTCTCTCCCCTCTCCTCTCTCCCCTCTCCCCTCTCCCCTCTCCCCTCTCCCCTCCCCGCTCCCCCCTCACCATCTCCACGGCGCGGGGGTCCAGGTTGCTGGGGGGGGCGGGCACGGAGAACTGGATCTTCTTGCGCTCCTTGGGGTCCATGGCCTTGGCCGGGAGTCACCGGAGCCCGGGGCGGGGGGGGTCTCTGGCACCGGTGCCGAGTGGAGTTCCGTGGCACCCGGGGCTCGGTACGGCGAGGAATGAGAGTGGCGGGAGGTGGGGAAGGCAGAGCCGGTGAGGAGGAGGAGGAGGAGGAGGAAGGAGAGGGAGGGAGGACACGTCTTCCTACCAGGAGCTGAATTATTCATCCCCCCCTCCCCGGGCAGGGGGGCTGAGGCCGCGGTAATGAGTCCTTGGGGAGCCCCCCAGGGGGTTCAGCCAACCTGTGGGGGGTCCTTAACCCCTTCCCTGCCACGGGGGGCCCCGCCTGCAGTGGCCGGTTGCGCTGGGACAGGGACGGCTGGCTCCGTGTGTGTCCCTGTCCCTTATGCCTCAGTGTCCCCAGAGGTGGGGGACAGGGGACAGGGGGACAGCCGCTCCCACCCCCGTGTGGGCAGCGGCAAAATTCACCCCCCATGCCCCCCCCCTCCCCCCCCGGCTACTCTGTGCCACACGGGACAGGGCCACCACTCCGGAGATAGGCACAGGGGACATCCGTGGGGACATGGGACTCCAAAAACATCCCATCCCCTGTGTGCCGGGGGTCCCCCCACCCCCAGCTGCAGCCCCCGGGGTGTCGGGGGTGCGGGGGGCTGTGTCCTCACCCACGGCTGTGCCCACCTGCCCTGGCTCTTCCCCAGTTTTTGGAGATTTTCCCCCTAGAAAATCCCAAGGGGACACAAAGGGGAAGGGGGGGTTTCATCCCCCAGGGCGACGCTCGGCACCAGAGCTGCACATTCCCGGCAAGGAGCGGGGGACATCGGGGACAGCTCTCCCGACCACAACCAGGGGGTCCCCATGCGGGGGGGGGACAGCGGGGTGGGTAGCAGCCCCGGCGGTGGCTCGTCCCCTCCTGGGATGTCCCGGGGCGGTGTCATGGAAGCCGCCTCTGGGCAGGAACGAGGAAGGGGGAGCTGGGAACTGGCTCCGTCCCCCGGATCTCCCGGTGCTCCAACGGCTGCGGGTGGCCCTGGGCCAGCAGCCACCGCTCCAGCAAAATATTTACCCGAGTGGCACCGAGCCATGGAGCAGCCTCCCGCCCGCCCGGCACCACGCGGCAAAGCTCGGCAAAACACGGCACAGCCCGGCTCTGGGTGACAAATTGTGGCTCTGGGTGGCAGATCTTGGCTCTGGGTGGCAAAGGCCAGCTCTAGGTGACAAAGTCCAGCTCTGGGAGATAAATCTTGGATGTGCGTGACAAATCTTGGCTCTGTGTGACAAAGCCTGGCTCTGGGTGACAAAATTCTGGCTGCGGGTGACAAACTTGTGGCTGTGGCACGGCGCGGTGACCAGCCAGGTGGGGACAAATTAGGTGCCAGCAGAGCCTAGTGTCCTCATGGAGACAAAATCTGGGGACAAGGTGAGGGTCCCTCTGTCACCCTGTCCCCTGGCTGGCCCTGTGCCGGGTGTCCCCATGCCAGGCTCCGAGCACCGTCCCCATCCCGGGACCGGAGTCGTTATGGCAACAGGTTCCCGGGCTCCATCCCGCTGCTGTTCCCGCTTCTCCCACCCACGAAGACGCCGTGTGAGGGGGTGGCCGGGCCCCCTCCCCTCCCTGCGCTGCGGCAGCGCCGGCACCCGCAGCCCCCCGGGATCGGCACGCGCCGCCCGCGCCCGCGCCCACGCACCGTCACCCGCGGGTGGCACCTGCAGCGTGGCACGGGGTGGGGAGGGGGGGCCCGGAACACGGGGACACCTTCCAGGCACACGTGTGGCACACATGGCCCCGCTCTCGTCGCCGGGACAGCACCGTGGGCACCCCGTGCCGTGCCCGTCCCCGTGCCCGTGCCGTGCCCGTCCCCGTGCCCGTGCCGCGGTGCCGCGGGGGCTGCAGCTCCGCGCAGCAGCGAATCCTCCCGCAGGGAGAGTGTAAAAATAGCAGCAGGTTGAGGGAAGAAGAGCTCGCCCCCCGGCGAGGAGCCTGAGCCCACCGCGGAGCCGTGGGGACGGACGCGGCGAGGTGGCAGCGGGGCAGAGGGTGTGGGGGGGATGGAGAGTCGTGGGGACAAGATGGGGACACAGCGTCGTGCCGGGGGGGCACAGCAGGGATGGAGCATCGTTGGGACAGGGTGCCACGGGGACAGGGTGTGCTGGGGGTGGAGCACCGTGCCCAGCAGGGTCCCATGGGGACGGAGAGCCCCAGGGATGGGACATGGTGGGGACAGGGCGTGCTGGGGATGGAGCGTGGTGGGGACAGTGTCCCGTGAGGACGAGGTGTCCCGAGGATGGCGCGTGGTGGGGACAGTGTTGCGGGGTACATCAGGGACAGGGTGCCACGGGGACAGGACCTTAGTGGGACAGGACATCGTAGGGACGGGGCCTTGCGGGGACAGCGCAGCGTGGGGACGATCGCACGGTCCAAGGGTGAGTGCCGGGGGGGCGGGGCCTGTGCACGGAGGGGGCGTGGCCACTGGATGGGCGGGGGGCGGCTCTGGGGGGCCAGGACCCCCCCTCAGTGCCCTTCAGCCCGCTATCCCCTTCTGTGTCCCCCGCTCGGCCCTGCGGGGGTGTCCCTCCCCCCGCTCCCGGGTGTCCCCTCTCACCTCGCTCTGGGCTGAGGCCCCCGAGCCCCCCCAGCACCCCAAGACCCCCCCGTGGACGCAGCCGCCCCCCAGGAGCTGCAGCGGGGGCGGCGGGTGGGGGCCGGTGCTCCCCTGGGTGCCGGGAGTGGGAACACGCGTGGGAGCGGAGCACGCGTGGGAGCCCGAGGGGGCGGTGGGAGGGGGGGGCGCAGGGGGCTTAACACCTTCATCGCTGGGAACCCCCCCAAGCGACCACCCTGGGGGGCTGCAGAGGGGAAAGGGGCCTGGGAGAGACCTTCTCTAAATGGGGGGCTGGGGAAGGGACACCCCCTGCCCTACTCAGGGACACTGGGGGGGTGCGATGGGGAAACTGAGGCAGGACGCGGGGGATGCACCCCTATAACCCACCGCCATCGGGGGGCTCCAGTCCCACGTCTTTAGCGTGATGTGGGGTGGTCTGCCACCCCCTATCCCCAAAAAGTGCGGGGGCTCCAGCGCTGGCACGAGGAGGGGCCGTGTCCTGCATTCCAGGCAGGATGGGACGTTGTGTCCCCACACCTGGCAGGACAGGGGTGGCCCTGTCCCCAGCTCAACGAGGAGAAGTCGCACCCCTGAACCCCCAACGGGGCGGGCAGGGGGCTGCATCCCCCCGGGCTGTGCCCGGTCCTGGTGCCATCGGTGCCCTCCCCGGCCCCGTGTGCCCGCCGGCGCCGCGGCACGCGGTGGCAGATGTCACTGCCGACGCTGGCATGGCCAGGCTGGCACGGCCACCCGGGGCTGGCACGGCCGCGTGGGCCGGGCAGCGGCTCAAGGGCTTTGGCACAGGGTGGCCGGAGCGGAGCCGCGGCTGGAGCCGTCCTGGTTGGCAGCCACCGGGCACCGGGCACTGGGCATCGGGCCGTGCCAAGCCTCACAGCCACAGCACGGGATGGGATCGGGGGCTGGGGGCACTGGGGTGTCCTGGGGCAACACCCCCGGGGTGGGCACCGACCCAAGCCAGGGCTGTGCTGGTTTGGGGGGGTTCATGCACGGTGCCAGGTGTGCCCGGCACAGGAGGGGCTGAAATTGAGGGGGGAACTTTGTGGGGGAACCCGGGATGGATAAAGGGGGAATGTGGGGGGGACAAATCTGGGGGGTTCCAGATAAGGGGTGCAGTAGTGAGACTCAGAGAGGCAGCCCGGGGGTCTCCTCAGCCTGGGGGACATCACGTGCCTCAGTTTACCCACCTGTAGCACGTGTCCTCTACAGCCTGAACCCCATCCACCTCCTTTCCCTGCGGAGGTGAGACCCCAAGTGATCCTAAAACTCATCCTGGTGCCCCCACGGAGCCCTGCCAGGGTGGGCTGGAGGGGGGACTCCCAGCCCTGCTCCCCCCTAGTCCATCGCTGACCCCCCCGGGGGGGGTCCGGGCCGCCAGCACAGACCAGTTTGCTGCCTCCATTCCCAGAAGAAAGAATAAAGTTAAAACATCTGTTAATTTATAAACCAATTTAACCATGACTGGTTAATAAATAGCTTCCAGCTGGCACCCCCACCCCGCGCCGGGCAAGGGGGGCCAGGGGGGCACAGCCGGGCTCGCCACTCTCCCGCAGCCCCCCGGGGTCATTGTCACTTGTCCCCGTGGGGGTGTGGGGGTGTCCCCGGGGATTTAACGGGTGCTTGCGGGGAGGGGACACGGCCGAGGTGCCTGGCACGGGGGGATCCCAGAGGGACGTGGGGACAGTGTGGTGCCCACGGGGGGGCTCTGGTGGTGCAGGGGGGGGTCGGGGCTGGGGGGACACGGTGAGGGGGAGTTTGCGAGGGGGGCGTTTGGGGAGGGTAGGAGGGAACGAGGAAGGAGGAGTCTGGAGGGGGTGTGGATGTGTGTGTGTGTGCCAGGGCTGTGCACATCTGCACGTGTGTGCCAGGCGTGTTCATGCGTGTGCATCCATGAGTGTGCCAGGGCTGTGCCACCCACAGTCCCCCCACCACGCCAGCGGGGCCGTGTGGGGACACCCCGTCTCTGCTGTCCCCACAGATCCGTGACACATCCCTGGGAAAGCCATCCACGCTGCGCACGGATCCAGGACGGAAAAGGGCCTGGCCCTGGCATTGTGGGGTCCCCATTCGTGCCCCACGTCCCCTCTCGGGGGGCTGTGGGTGGAGGTGCAAGGCCGTGAGCCCCTCGCCCCAACACGTGTCGCAATAGTAATGTAATTTGTCCGTTAACAATGGGCAGCTTGAGGTTTATATTTAATTACACCAACCTGAACTCACCCTTATTCATCAATAATGCATGGGTTTGTGTTTATCGCTGCTTAATTAATCTGTGCTTACGACAATTAAAGGCTCGCAAAATCCCCCAAGGTGGCAGCGGGGAGCGGCTGCGCCAGGCTGGCGCGAGCCTGGTGATGGTGCCAGCCTGGTCCTGGTGCCAATGTGGTCACCCTGACAGCACGGGCACAGTGCTGGGGTGGTGGCAGTGCCACAGCGATCACGGTGCCAATGTGGGCAGTGTGGCAGTGTGGTCACCGTGCTGGCATGCGGTGGCATGTGGCCCCCGTGCCAGTGGGGTCACAGTCGTGGTGCTGGCATGATTGTGGTGCCAGAGGGGTCACTGTGCCAGCGGGGTCACAGTCATGATAGTGGCATGATCATGGTACCAGGGTGGTGACAATGCCAGTGGGGTCACAGTCATGATAGTGGCATGATCATGGTGCCACGGAGGTCACTGTGCCAGTGGGGTCAGTGTGGCAGTGTGGTCGCTGTGCTGGCATGCGGTGGCATGTGGCCCCTGTGCCAGTGGGGTCACAGTCATGATAGTGGCATGATCATGGTGCCAGGGTGGTGACACTGCCAGTGGGGTCGTAGTCATGGTGCTGGCATGATCATGGTGCCAGTGTGGTCACGGTGCCAGTCTGGTGGCCGTGCTGGTGTGGTCACCATTCTGGTGTGGTCACCATGCCAGTGCAGCAGTGGTGGCCGGTGACAGCCAACCCATCTGCCAAGCACGGTGACCCCCCCGGGTACCCCCATCCTTGGGTGCCAGGAGGGTCGAGAGAAGACCCCCCCCACATGCTTTGGTTGCACAGCAGGTACCCCCACCCTATCCTGCCTGCCTCAGTTTCCCCACAAGAAAACCAACCCCAGCACATCCATCACCCCCCTCACATCCCCCGCTCCTCCTCCCCGGTGCTTTTCCCCAATTTCCCTTTTCCCTGCCCACTCTGCACGCCCTGACGCCCTCGCTGTGGCAGGGCCGGGGGGGCCCGTGCCCCCCACGCCGTGCCAGGCCAGCTCTGTGCCTTTAAGCACGGTGGCACGGCTGTCCCGGATCAGCCGGAGCGCCTATTAAATTTTTATGCGAAGTGTAAATGGGCCAGGTCTCCAGCTTCCCGCTCCCTCCGAATGATTTATTACTCGCAAATACCACAGAACTAATTAGTATAGTAATTAATTAATACGAATTTGCATATTTGCATGTGCAATTAGTGCAGTGGAGTGATTACTCTGAAAATGAGAAGTTGGGCCTGTCAGATGGGAGTGTGAACTGGAGTGGAAAAGCCTCGTGAAAATGATCCCGGGCGGCGGCGGCGGCGCCGGGCACGAGGCGGCACCGGGCAGGCGGCGGCACCGGCGAGGCCTGGCACGCAGGGCTGGGGGGCTCAGCCCTCGGGACACCCCCTTTCCCCCCATCCCATCCCAGCCCCGGTCCCCAAGCCGTGGGGACCGCTCCATCCCTCGGCCATCTCCATGGCGACTGGCTGTGCCAGGCGCATCGCCATGGCAACGGGCCGGGCCACGCAGCCTCGCCATGGCGACTGTCGTCATCGCGCTCTGTCGCCATGGAGACCCTCCCCATCTCCCCAAATCCACTCCCTGCCAGGCCTCCCCACCTCGGGCTTGGGGTGGGGGTGCTGCTCCTCGGAGTGGGGGGGTCCCCAAAAGAACCCGGGAGGGGGGATGGGGGTGCCCGGTGTCCCCAGGGATTGGGGTACCCGGGGATGGGAGGAGCACCCCAGGGTGCCCCACGCTGGGTCCCCGGTGCTGTGGGGCTGGTGGGACAGCAGCACCAGGCTGGACCCGCTCCTGAGGGATGTGACCTGAGACCCCCCAGGATGGGGCTTGGCACCCCCAGCCCCACAGCTCCGAGTCCAGCCCTTGGTCTTTGTCCCTGGTGCCACCCAGGTGCCCCTTCACCTGTCAGTGCACTTCCAGGAGGGCCACCAGCTGCCCGTGCCTGGTGTTGGGGGGCAGGCAAGTGAAATGGGGGGTGATGGAGGGGGCTGTGGCTACAGGCAGCCCCCTCCACCCCCGTGTGCCACATCCCCCCAGCACTGGGCCGGGCAGCCCCCAAAACGGGCCCGGGCAGGTGCCATCTGCCAGGGGGGCTGGAGCCGCTGCCAGCAGCACCCACTCAGCTGTGCCCTCACGGGTGGCACTGCCTGTGGCCATGGAGGGGCTGCTGTGGCCACTCCTGAAGACTGGTGACATCACAGGCCAGCTGTGATGTCACAGACTTTAGTGACATCAGGGTGGCCTTGTTACCTCAGCAGCAGCCAGCTCTGCTGGTGGCAGCTCCCTCCAGCCCTGTCCCCACCCCCCACTGTCCCCAAAGGACATCTGAGCCCAGCAGGGGCGAACACACCAGGTGACAAAGGAGCGTGGGGCACGGGGGACAAGTCCCTGTGTCCCCACCCCGTGATCATCTGTCCCCAGCCCCACGTGGAGCAGTGGCAGATTCCCACTGGGCAATTCCCAGGTGTCATTTTCCTAATTAACAACGTGTGGCTTAAAAAGCACTTGTCAGGTCCCTGGTCTGTGTGTGACTGTGGGGGACAGGCTGGGGGGACAGGCTGGGGGGACAGCTTGGGGACACAGGTGGGGGATATGAGCAGGAATTTGGATGCCCAGGACCCAGTGGGTGAAGCAGCCACACCACAGCCCCAGGGCTGGCACAGCACCCCCGCATCCTCCTCTGGAGAAGATGAAGGAGCTCCCTGACCCCCCCCTGATGCCAGTCCAGCCAGAGCCCCCCTCTCCTCCCTCAGGTTCCCTCCTCCATCACCTTCCTCCTCCCAAGCTCCCCAGCCACGGCCCTGCACAGTCACCACTGCGGGGACATTTAGGGACACGGGGACAGGCAGGGCACCACCCACCCCTCCCCATCCCCCAGAGCGCCCCACCCGCAGCTGGGGCCCTGCTCACCCGCTGGCTGGAAGATGCCCAGGGATGGCTCCGAGGGTGGAGCTGCTCCAGGGACCCCAGCGGGGACAAGGACGGGGACAGGGATGGGGACAGGGACGGGCTCAGCTCCTGCTGCCGCCGCTCTCCTCCCCTCAGTGACATTCCCGGCGGTGGCTCCGCCGCACGTTAGCGCATCCATCTCTCCCCAGCCTTCACCTCCCAGAAATATTGCAGCGCAGAGCCGGCTCCATCTGGCAGCGGCCCCCGCCTCCCCCCCGCCACCGCTCGCGGGGAGATGCCGGAGCCGGATCCATCGCCCGGGCCTCGCTGAGGGCCAGCAGGGACCCCACCGGTGACAGGGGCCAGCTGGGGTGACCCCCCGTGCCACACCGCGGGGGGACAGCGTGGCCTGGCACGCTGGGGCTGTGGCAGCCGGCTGAGCCCGGGTGAACTCGCCCCACGCGGGGCCCCTGGAGCCGCCGCGGGCCCAGCTGGCTCCCAGCCGTGTCCCGGCACCACCCAGCACCCGGCTCTGCCAGTGCCGACCTGCTTCCGTGCCCTCACCGTGTCCCCTCCCCGTGGCACTTGTCCCCTCGTCCCCCTCCTGCATCCAGCGCTTCCTGCTGGAGGGAGGGAAGGGACGTGGAGGATGGAATTTGGGGGAGGAAAGAGCTTCGTGTGAGCCAAACTCCTCAGTGTGCCTGCCTGGCACCGAGGCCACCAGAGACATAACAGGGGTGGCCAGGGACCAGAGGTGGCAGCGCTGGGACACGGGGACAATCAGTGGGGTGGGGAGCAGAGCCCTGGGGTTACCGGGCCATCTCCCCCAGCCCCCACACCCAAAAAGGCAGCAGCAGCCCTGCCCCTGCTGCCGCCCTGCTCCCCAGACTGTGCCTGGGCTCACCTCAGCCCCAGCCGGCCCTGCTGCAGGGGACAGTCCCGTTCCCCTGGGGAGGGTCCTGCTCGTGCAGCCCCTGCGCTGCGGGGTCAGATCCCTGCTCACCCCTGTGGGTGAAACCCCTTCCCAAATTCACCCCAGGAGCAGGATGGGGCTGGCCCTGCCCCGCTCTGCCCGACAGTGGAGGGGACAGCACGGGGACAGCACTGGGGTGCCACTCCTGCCCTCTCAGTGGGCAGTGTCCAGCCGAGAGCCCTGGCACTGCCCGCTGCACCCACGGAGGCAGAGCTTTGGGTTTTCATCTCCCTGCTCCCCTTTCATCTCCTCTCCCCGTTTCATGTCTCCACTTTCTTCTCCCTCCAAGCACTGCGCATGCTGATGAGCCCACCCTCGCCCTCACCGGCTGCTAATTAGGCTGTAATGGGCACACTGGGCCAGGGGCTCGTGGCTCATCCCTGTCCCCACCCCTGTCCCCACATGGGCCAGCTTGGCCACTCACACGGTGGCATCTCCTCGTCCCCAGGCAGAATCAGGGCCCCCATTTGTCCCCCATGGGCTGTAATTCTGATGCCAGGAATGGGGCAGAGAGTGCCAAAGGCCGTGTGGGGCTGTGCCACGGGGTGGAGGGACATTGGCATGGCTGTGTGGCCATGGGAGTGCCAGCACGTCCATGTGCCACCCACACGGGGACACGCGGCCCCACACCCACCGACCCTGCCCACCACACCGGTGGCTTCACTGCCTGACACCCGGGCTGTGGCCACCCTCCAAGGGCTGGGGACCGATGGCAGGGCAGTGGGGACACACCCAGAACTGGCTCTGATGTGCCACCAGCTGCGGGTGGGCTCCTGGTGCACCGTGACCCCGGCAGGTCAGCACCGGCCGGACGGAGACGGCAGCAGCAGAGGGAGCTGAACGGTGCCACGGGAAAGGGATGCCTCGTGCCAGGAGGGAATCGCTGCCCAGCGTGGCACCGGCACTGGCAGGGCTGGGGTGGCCCTGCCTCCCTGCAGGCCAGCCCCGGCCCAGGTGCCATCTGCTCGGCCGCAGCCGTGAGTGACAGTCGGAGGGCTGGCGCCGGGGGGACGCTCGCCACCGGCGGTGCCCCTCTGTCACGTGCCAGGCACCTGCACCAGGGGAATGGGCACTGCTGATGGCCCTGGCAAAGCCCCGGTGGCCAGGCAGGGCCAGCCCTTTGTCTGCATGTGGGCACAGCCACAGCCACCACTGTCACCGTGCCCACGTCACGGCTGTGCCACCCTCACCTTCTGTGTGTGGCTGGCACGTGCTGGTGTGTGGCACCCAGCCCTCAAGCCAGGCAGGTCCTGACCCCGGGGTTTGTGGGGACAGAGGAGACCCAGGACATGGCATCAGCCTCAATGGATCGGCCAGGACCTGCTGATGGGAAGTGGCTTCTGGGGACACTGTGGTCCCGTGGCCCAGCTGGTGCCCACCAAAAGGGCATCAATGATTTTTGGGTGCACAGTCACCATGGTGGGGACAGATTTGGAGGCTGGAGGGTGGCAGAGCACTGAGGAGGCGCCTGGCAGACAAAGGCCTCATTGGCTGCACCTTGGCACGGCCGGGCCTCAGCCACCAGCGCCGTGGGATTGGCACCCGTGGGGGCTCAACCCCCGTGTGCATCAGTGTGAGCGTGCACGGGGCTGTGTGCTGGCTCTGTGTGTGCCCAGAGCGTGCCAAAGGCCGTGTGGGGCTGTGCCACGGGCCGGAGGAACATTGGCATGGCTGTGTGGCCGTGGGGGTGCCGGCACGTCCCCGCGCCACCCACACGGGGACACGCGGCCCCGCAGCCACCGGCCCTGCCCACGCCACACCTGCAGCCCCCTGCCAGCACCGGCGTGGCCAACCTGGGCACTGCCAGCACCTCTGCCGTGCCCGGCCGCAGCCCCCAGCCCGCGCCGGGCCCTCGCCGTCGCCTCTCGGCTGCCGGCTGAGGGTGGGGACGGAGCTGGCCGAGCCGCCGCGGCATTTTGCGGCGAGCCGCAGATGCCAGCTCCCAGCGAGGGTCCCCGTGGCATCGCCCCCCTCACCCCAGCGCCCGCCTGTGTCCCTGCCACGCTCGGCCCAGCCAGGATGGCCGGTTTTCCCGCTGGCTCCATTGTTCCTCCCGGCCCCGCCATCGCCTGCATCTCGCCCGGGTCCCATTTTGCAGCGTGTAGGCAGAGCTGGAGATTTGGAAGAGGTTTTTTTTTTTTTTTTTTTTTTTTTTTTTTTTTTTTTTTTTTTTTTTTTTTTAGAGTACAGAGTGACAGATGGCGAGTCCTCCTTCCCCAGAGAGACAAATCTCCCTGAATGCAAGCGCATGTCAATCATTAGCTCTCATGTGATAGCTCTCGCGCATGACGTGCCAACCATATGGCACTGGCAGCAGAGCTGGTACCCCCTTTGCTGGGTAGAGATGCCACTCTCGCCTCCTTTTGGATAGAGGACTGCAGGAGGCTGGAGCACCTCAAGGAGCCGCGTCCCGCTCCCAGAAGATGCTGGGAACAATGAAATAAGAATTCCTGCGGTCCGCCCGAAGGTGAGTTATGTAAGAAGTGGAGGGTTGGGAGGGCAGCGGAGGAAACTTGAATGGAGAAAAGGCAACTTCCATGTTGATTTTGTTTCTCCGCCACGTCTCGCCCTTTTTTCCCCCCATCTTTCGTTCTCCCCCGGCCCTCCGTTCTCCCACTCCCCGCGGGCCCCGCTGATGGGGTTTTCTTCCCCCCGCCGAAGTCCCCCCCAAGGGGGGTTCTTGGGGTTTCGCCGCCCCCGGTCTTCCTCCGCCCCCCCCAAAGCCTGGGCGCGCCCGGGGCGCCGCGGTCCCGGTGGGACGGAGCGGGCAGCGGCGGCCGAGCGGCATCAACGAAATCAGCGCGGAGCCGCCGCGCCGCCGCCCCGGGGGGGCTCGACCTGGCGGAGCCGCCCCCCCGCTCCCCCGCGGCGCCCCCGGCCCTCGCCCCGGGCGGTGCCCCC